GCACTTCCACCGAAACTGGGTGACTGCGCCCTACTAGATGGGGATTTGTATGCAAAATGTCACTAAAAGCGCCATTTCGTTCTTATAAAAGCATGGATGACGGCGATTGGCCCATATGTTGTAGTCTTTTGGACGCTGAGTCGATTGGTTTTGGTCCGAAAAGGCTGCGATGCAGCGTTCCTCCTTTATTCCCAATCGAACATGGTTGAACAAGCGGTCACGTGCTCCTGCGTACGCCAGTCACCTGGTCACCGTGCCTGCAGGGTACAACTTACTAGCTTGTTTGACCTTTTTTGGGTGCAGTCCTGTCACTCCAGTTGAACCTTGGTGTGAAAGTTGTCGCCTGCTGGCGTGGTGACCAGGTGATTTGGGCACCCAGGAGCACGTGACCACTTGTTCAACCATGTTCGATTGGGAATAAAGGAGGAACGCTGCATCGCAGCCTTTTCGGACCAAAACCAGTCGACTCGGCGTCCAAAAGACTACAACATATGGGCCAATCGCGGTCATCCGTGCTTTTATAAGAACGAAATGGCGCTTTTAGTGACATTTTGCATACAAATCCCCATCTACTAGGGCGCAGTCACCCAGTTTCAGTGGAAGTGCGCGAGTTCGATTGGGATTCAAGTAGGAAGGGAGCGTCTCAGCTTCCTCGGACCAAGACCATTCGACTCAGCACCCCGAAGACTACAACTGGTGAAATTTTAATTTTTGCCTTAACTTCCCCTTTAAGTACCTACGCAATGGATAATATATCATTCATTACCCTGATGATGGGCCAGGCCTGAAAATTTGGTGTATTGTTAATCTTTAAAAAAAAAAATTTAAAATTTGAATCGCAGTGAAGAGACCGTATTTTGGAATTGAGAAGTGACGTCTCCTAGATTGTGTAACTATTACTTACACTGTGAGTGGCTGTGTTGGAGTTTGCGGACCATGAGAAAATAAGACGGGCACCTAAATTAGGGTCCAGCGGATTCTGCCGGCAGAAACATTGGCAAAATTCGGTACTTTTCTGGTAAGTTTCATGCTTGTTTGGTATGTGGATAAAGAAATGGAGCAGAATCCGAGGAATTGCCCGCCATAAGGTTTGTATGGTTCTGCCAATTTTACTGCTTTTCGAGCAGAATCTGCCACCTTTTCGAGCAGAATCCGCCGGTCCCTAACCTAAATAATAGACTTGGATGGAGAGCCAAGGATAAATTTATAAGAAAGAAAAAGGACCAAAGAGTTACGCTACAATGTCCACTAACACCACCAGTCACTAAACAATCAGCTCATGCGATAACATTGCACGACACTGACCAACGATAATGACGTTCTACAACTAACTGGCTATCAGCTCTAGCACATCTTGGATGCGCACTCCAACAGCCTTCCAACTAACTTTTGATTACTTGGAAGGTTCTACGTTATAGAAATGTTCAGCAAAATTTCAAAACACACGACATTATTTCGTTCGCTAATCTCCGCTACTCGTCGTCTCACCTGGCTTCAGAAGATGGTACGAGAGATAGCGGGAGAGTCTCCAGCAGGCAGCGCATCCATCTTCAGGAAGTGGAAAGAGCAAACGGCATGGTCCTTGGTTGAGGTAAATGCTGAACGTTTGATTTGTCCCAACCAAGATTTCAGCACTTGGTTCGTCACGATTTTCGCTTGCCAGCTAACGTCTCCGCACTCCAGCTTTCCCCTGTCGGTGTCACGTCCCAGTACACAACGGAGAGGACTACTAATAAACAGTTCACGGCACTAACAGCCTTGAACACAGTACTTCTTTCACTTCGTGAATACAAAAAGACAACTGAAAATGACACAATTCTTCAGTGATCGACCTTCTCTCTCACGGAGCTAAGCAGAATGTACGTCATCACCTGTAGTCGCCATGGAAACGGGATCAGGAAATCGGCGATATGGCAAGTAGTAATAGGTTTTTCATTTTGACCCGACGAGACCATACGACGCTTGCAGATCACAGCACGAACAGTCCCCCCAGCCACACTCCACGAAAGCAAGTAGAAGTACTCCTGACAAGTCTTGTTTCGTTCCATAGAGATAATAACGGGGAACTCATCAGAGGAGAAGCAGATGTTGAATGAAGGGGTTTAGCTGAATAATGCTATTTTATAGAAAAGATATTGGCGCACTGAGGTGTAAACACTCAACTAACTCACATATGTGACAAATCAACACAAAAGGAATAGTGCAGAATGGATATGGCAAGTAATAAGTTAGTTTCCCTTGCCGTACGCAAGCGAGAGATATACCATCGGAACCGATATCCTCTGAGCCATACTTGAAAAAAATCGATGCACTTCCCCTTTAAAGGGGAAGTTAAGGCAAAAATTAAAATTTCACCAGTTGTAGTATTCGGGGTGCTGAGTCGAATGGTCGTGGTCCGAGGAAGCTGAGACGCTCCCTTCCTACTTGAATCCCAATCGAACTCGCGCACTTCCACCGAAACTGGGTGGCTGCGCCCTACTAGATGGGGATTTGTATGCAAAATGTCACTAAAAGCGCCATTTCGTTCTTATAAAAGCACGGATGACCGCGATTGGCCCATATGATGTAGTCTTTTGGACGCTGAGTCGACTGGTTTTGGTCCGAAAAGGCTGCGATGCAGCGTTCCTCCTTTATTCCCAATCGAACATGGTTGAACAAGCGGTCACGTGCTCCTGCGTACGCCAGTCACCTGGTCACCGTGCCTGGGTACAACTTACTAGCCTGTTTGACCTTTTTTGGGTGCAGTCCTGTCACTCGAGTTGAACCTTGGTGTGAAAGTTGTCGCCTGCTGGCGTGGTGACCAGGTGATTTGGGCACCCAGGAGCACGTGACCGCTTGTCCAACCATGTTCGATTGGGAATAAAGGAGGAACGCTGCATCGCAGCCTTTTCGGACCAAAACCAGTCGACTTAGCGTCCAAAAGACTACAACATATGGGCCAATCGCGGTCATCCGTGCTTTTATAAGAACGAAATGGTGCTTTTAGTGACATTTTGCATACAAATCCCCATCTAGTAGGGCGCAGTCACCCAGTTTCGGTGGAAGTGCGCGAGTTCGATTGGGATTCAAGTAGGAAGGGAGCGTCTCAGCTTTCTCGGACCAAGACCATTCGACTCAGCACCCCGAAGACTACAACTAGTGAAATTTTAATTTTTGCCTTAACTTCCCCTTTAAGGCTAAAATCAAAATTTCACTAGTTGTAGTCTTCGGGGTGCTGAGTCGAATGGTCGTGGTCCGAGGAAGCTGAGACGCTCCCTTCCTACTTTAATCCCAATCGAACTCGCGCACTTCCACCGAAACTGGGTGACTGCGCCCTACTAGATGGGGACTTGTATGCAAAATGTCACTAAAATCGCCATTTCGTTCTTATAAAAGCACGGATGACTGTGATTAGCCCATATGTTGAAGTCTTTTGGACACTGAGTCGACTGGTTTTGGTCCGAAAAGGCTCCTCCTTTATTCCCAATCGAACATGGCTGAACAAGCGGTCACGTGCGCCTGCGTACACCAGTCACCTGGTCACCATGCCTGCAGGGTACACTACTAGCCTGTTTGACCTTGTTTGGATGCAGTCCTAGATCCTGTCACTCGAGTTGAACTCGAGTTGAACCTTCGTGTGAAAGTTGTTGCCTGCTGGCGTGGTGACCAGGTGATTTGGGCACCCAGGAGCCCGTGACCGCTTGTTCAACCATGTTTGATTGGGAATAAAGGAGGAACGCTGCATTGCAGCTTTTTCGGACCAAAACCAATCGACTCAGTGTCCAAAAGACTACAACACATGGGCCAATCGCGGTCATCCGTGCTTTTATAAGAACGAAATGGCGCTTTTAGTGACATTTTGCATACAAATCCCCATCTAGTAGGGCGCAGTCACCCAGTTTCGGTGGAAGTGCGCGAGCTCGATTGGGATTCAAGTAGGAAGGGAGCGTCTCAGCTTTCTCGGAGCAAGACCATTCGACTCAGCACCCCGAAGACTACAACTGGTGAAATTTTGATTTTAGCCTTAACTTCCCCAAGGAGGGGAAGGTGAGCGCAACCAAGATAAGCACGAGCTGAAAGTCTCAGCTGTGAAGGACGTTGGCGGATGTTCATGCATGTCGATGATAATAGAACGCCATGTAGACTATAGTCATACGCATACATCATGTCTTGGCTTACATGGTCTATTAGTAGAGCATGCAGTCCGGCTGCAAATCGTCGAAGCACACAGTCTGAAAGTCCACCCTCTGTTACACAACCAATTTGAAGAGAAGACCCTTTTTCTGATTTCGAAAGAAAGCCCAAAGGTTGTATTCTGTACGTGTGCACGTGTAACATTATTGCTGTTTGAGTGAAGGACATAATTATAAATAAAGAGCAGTTACATGTGCGAACATGCATTACTGTAAAACCGGAAAGTCTAACGAGCCACGAAGTCTAACGCTTTAACGACCAATTTTTTTCGTTATTTGAAGAAACGTTATCGCGAACCCGGTTTGAGATGTATGTGTAAAGATGTGCATACAGATGGGTGGCCAGGTAGCCATCCTTAAACTTTCTGCACGTTATCATGCCAAAATTACAAAAACGGTTAACCTTTTGGTCGTGACACTTTCCGGTTTTACAGTATCAGTTGGCCCTAAATGCAAGGTGAAAGCTGAAACGGCCAGCCGGTAGTGAGGCCCACAGTCATTATCTCACATTCGGCTTGTCAGGTCGTTTCCGTACTTGTAACGACAACTTGGCATGCACACTGTACACAGATCAGCTTGTGAAGCTCCTCTTTGCTCCTCTTGTCTGTATTAACACACTGTGTTGCTCCGCACACAGTAGCGGAATGACACAATGACACGCCACACCGACCGAAAGGATCAGCAGAGTTGACCTCTGAGATGAGGCCTGATCGTAAAGCACTATGTGTTTCGTAACGCAATGCCGGGGTACGAGTGACGCGCCAGGACTCGGTTTGTCCAGTCTGTTCGAAAAGATCAAACTAATCTTCGGCCAACAAGCAACAGTCACGAGTGTCTGATAAAAAATTACCCCAACGATGTTTCAACATAAATAATGGAACGCAGGCAGGCCTGGCATTGCAACAGGTACAGTGCTGTCACTGCACGATCACATGTATCACTAGAACATAATACAGGACTACAAAAATACTCTAAAAAAGGTGACAGCATTGGAATGACAGAATGACCGAGAAAAACAACTGATTCAGAGCAGGTGGTGAGTGGCTCGAGTAGCATGTCCAGTGTTTCCCTGAGCGTGTCCCTAACACACATAGTATGCGGTGCAGGTGTGAGTGGTATAGTCTATTGGCAACACGTTGTGCACTTTTCTGAGTGGGGCAGCACTGCCACGGTCTCTTACAAGCGGGTGCTGTGTCTCCAGGTTGCGCCCCGGTGACACGCCACATAAGTTCTTGTCCAGGACTGAGTGTGTGCTAAGTCGAGAGTAGACAGTGAAGCAGAAGGCCACCAGGATTAGCCCAGGGCTACATCCAGTGTCATCATCACGATAAAGCCAACAATGGTACCCCAGGATGCCAGGCGACTATTGCCTCTGTCGAAGGTGAAGAGCCAAAAGGCACATGCAGACGCACAGGACAATACAAAGAAACACACATGCGCATGCATACACGCATACACACACGTGCATGCACACACACACATGCACACACACACACACACACACACACACACACACACACACACACACACACACACACACACACACACACACACACACACACATACACACACACACACACACACACACAAAACAAGCAGGTAATTTTGCAGGTAATTTTGTGCCTGCTCCCGGAATATGATTGAGTTGGCCATATGGCATGAGTGGCGGAATGGACTGGCCAGTTATGAATGGGACGGATCTACTTTCCTAACCTGCCAATATCGGATAAAGACAATACCTGTAGTATTTTTCGTGCATTACTTTTTTTCACTGTCTTGGGCAATGTGAGAACTTTCTTGTTGTTTTCGAAGTGGCTTGATGTAAACACTGTTGGCTGGTTTGCACGCCTGTGTGGCCATGATGCAGTTGCCTGAATGCCGTGCATACACACAGACACAGACAGACAGACATACAGACACACATACAGGCAGACAGACAGACACATACACACATGCGCACACGCACTCAGTGCACAAGGAGGCTTACCCAGTCTGCGCCTCTGGCAGGATGTCGTCAGCCACCACAAACACCATTGCACCGGCGGCGAATGCAAGCGCGTACGGAAGGAGAGGTGCAGCAAACTGTTAGCATGACGCAGAAACAATATGGTCACAATGATCAAGTTGTACGCACATCGGTACAATTTACCAAAAGCAATACATCTGTAGGAACTACATGTATAGCTGTGGGTTGACCGAGTAGCCACTGCAAATCAAATCTAACAATAAAGAAGGAGCCTGATCCTTGGACCATGCCAGGTACGTTGGTGGGACATTGAACAGAACAATGTTACAGTGAGTTAGTCAGTGAGTAAACTACTACACACCTATTGCAATCAATCAGTGATAATGTGATGATTTGAGTGAATTATCATCTTTCAATGGTGCCTACACTGGAGTTGGAGAGAGTGAGCAAAGAGAGAGAGAGAGAGAGAGAGAGAGAGAGAGAGAGAGAGAGAGAGAGAGAGAGAGAGAGAGAGAGAGAGAGAGAGAGAGAGAGAGAGAGAGAGAGAGAGAGAGAGAGAGAGAGAGAGAGAGAGAGAGAGAGAGAGAGAGAGAGAGAGAGAGAGAGAGAAAAAGAGAGAGAGAGAGAGAGAGAGAGAGAGAGAGAGAGAAAAAGAGAGAGAGAGAGAGAGAGAGAGAGAGAGAGAGAGAGAGAGAGAGAGAGAGAGAGAGAGGGAGAGACAGGGAGACAGAAAGAGGGGGGGTCAGGAAAAGGGGAGATGCCACCTCGGGCTCCACTTACCGTCACAGCAACAGCCCCCAGGACGCCAGCAACTGGCTCCACCATACCACTCAGCTGCCCATACCTATAAGGTACATAACAACACACAATAGTACAATACTGCTATACAGTTCACAACGGTAGGTAGCCAAGCCACACAATAATGTAACAAACAAAGGTACCGTAGTGTCGCGTACCAAAGCCGGGCGTATGCCTGTACAAGCCGATGTCAGGGCTAGGCTTCAATTCAACAAAGGTTTCTATTCAAACCAGGTGTTTCTATGTGTGTCAACACTAAGACCTGGCTTATGTGCTGCCAGTGCATCTTGAGAATTAGGCTTGTATTCAAAACAGGCTTCTATACGAGACCGGCTTTAATACAAGAGACTACGGTATGTTTGCCAGGCGTTGTAACATGCATCAACACCACCCACCATAGCGACAGCAAGTACAAGAACGGATCATGACATTATTTACAACAAGTAGACCAAACTATCCATTTCATTATGAACGTTCAAGCTGAGATTCACTCTCTTCTTCTCTCTGTTCCCTCTCATTTTAAATGTCGTTTTTAGTTAGCCGTGGTTGGCTGCCACCCTTCATCTCATTCTCACTATTGGCAGTTTTACGGCGAGCCAGGAGATGTATAAGTAAAATAAATGAAATGAAATACAAGCTCAGGAACAACTAAGATCTTTGCTGATGAAGCTAACCAGGGGCATTGGACACGGTACGGTCACTACGGTATTGACTGTACCACTTTTTGCCGCAGGTACCCCGTGAATAAAAAAAATAAAAAAATAAAATACACTGATCTGGGATCTAAATTTCCAAAATGTTCGGCTCAGCGATCCCTCCCCAAAAGTAAACTGCAGTTCAGATGGTTGACCGAACCACACTAAAATACCTTCCGGCGCCCCTGTAACTGAATAATGTTCTTGCCAGGCTGGCTGCTCATTAAGTACACCATTGTACTTCCACAGTAGAGTATGATTCGCAACCACACCCAACCACTCAAGTCAGGCTTTGGTCACACTGCTTCTTTGTCACGCCGACACACCTTCACATGCATGTTCAGCAACATTCTGCCCCATCACACTGCAGTTTTAACTGCAGCTGAATGACAGAGACATGTTCACATGTTTCCGAGTTCAGCTATTGCTGTTGGAACCAGAAATGGTTCCATGTTTTGAGAATTCAGCCAAGAGGAAATGCTCCTTTCTCCGAAAAGAAAAAAAAGAAAAGAACCACCAAGCACCATGCATGGTTTTGCTACTCATAGTACTCAACAATGTATTGTTTTACTGTCTTGCACGGACAACAATCAAACGCATTCCGCAAGAGCGCCCCCGGTAGCCGGTGTCGCGAGAGTACCCGGTCTCGCGAGAGTAGTCGGTCTCGCGAGAGTACCCGGTCTTGCGAGAGTACCCGGTCTCGCGAGAGCGCTCCACCTCGAGATCACAGCCAGGGAAAGGAAAATTGAATAGCAGAGAGCAACTAAGTTTGTACGGTGTGAGAACCTTAGTGCACTGAGGTCACACTTAGCAAGTTCTTGCGTGGAGACGCAGCGTAAACCTGAGTACGGATTGCCTGCACAGAGTGCAACCTCTAAACACTACCAAAAAAGGGAGTAACCGACGGGGCACTCTCATGCAACTTTACAGTACTAGCGCGCTGTACATGTAGTCCCCGGTTTCCAGTCCGGAGAGAACATTTTTTTTAGCTTCATGACGGTTTTTCGGGCCGAAATGGCACGGGGCTAATTTAATTTAATTAGGGGTGAAAAGATTATAGCAATTCCTCGTGTACTTGCTCGAAATATGCTTGCGAGCGAGTACTAGCACTCAACACTGTAGTTTTAAAAGCATGCGTATGCAGCTGCTAACTATGCCTGCCCCGTATGTTAGGAGCAGGAAATGATGCTCCTCCACTGCCTGTTCATGCACTGGCAGCATAGCTCTGGTGCCGTGCAGCTCAGGGCTACGGAATGCAAGCAACACACACATGTGCACACAAATCAAGTACAAGTGCTGCTACAGTGTGCAGAACAGTGAATTGCCACAACTGTACATAACTCAACGGAAATTGTTATACTTCGAAGTACGAAAATGGAAAACTTTCAGATCGCTCGAGTACTCGCTCGATTTCTTCCCGCGTACTCGAACAAGGAAACACCAGCACTCATCTCCACCGTTTTCTGCACATCTTTGGCCAAATGGCTGAAAAGTTGTGGAGTGATACTATGGTCATCCACTGGACCATGCACATTGTCGCATCCGCAATATGGTGTGCTTACCCATGATTTCTAAAGCCAACAATACTCACAGTGCGTTCAAAGTGAGTACATTCGTCCAGAATAATGGCTGGAGTTTGCTGGAGTTTCAGTAGTTAGTTATTAGCAAGGTGACGAACAACAGAATCTTCGCACTGAACATTCAATGCTATTTTCACGCATGGAGGGCATAGCATTTAGATTCGCCGCTGCCGAGATCTTACCAGAATGACTTCCAGGTGGAGAACCCAGCGGCTTTCAATGGCAGACTAACGGCAAGACCTTCCGGGAAGTTCTGGATGCCAATACCTAAAGCTAGAGAGCTGAACACACAGTGAAACCAACGGTGGAGTCAGTGAATAGAAGAGTAGCAATGGTGACAGCAGTACAACAAGACATACTTCATAGTAAGAGCAAAGCTATGCAAATATGTAGGACTATGACAGGAAGAGAGAGAGAGAGAGAGAGAGAGAGAGAGAGAGAGAGAGAGAGAGAGAGAGAGAGAGAGAGAGAGAGAGAGAGAGAGACAGACAGACAGAGAGACAGAGAGACAGAGAGAGAGAGAGAGAGCGAGAGAGAGACAGAGAGAGAGAGAGAGAGAGAGAGAGAGAGAGAGAGAGAGAGAGAGAGAGAGAGAGAGAGAGAGAGAGAGAGAGAGAGAGAGAGAGAGACAGAGAGAGACAGAGAGACAGAGAGAGACAGAGAGAGAGAGAGAGAGAGAGAGAGAGAGAGAAGAGAGAGAGAGAGAGAGAGAGAGAGAGACAGAGAGAGAGAGAGAGAGAGAGAGAGAGAGAGAGAGAGAGAGAGAGAGAGAGAGAGAGAGAGAGAGAG